GAATTATGTTAATTTGAGAATAAGAATCTGATGAAAAAATTTTGATACATAAATGTAATAATGTATAAATATTAGGAACATTTCATACAATTAAAATGTAGTCTAATTATTAAAAACTGTGGTGTGAATATATTTAATCTAAAATTTATTACCCTTTACCATGTTAACTTCTTGCCTTTATGCAAAATTTAAATTTATCTATTTTTGTAATTTTTAAGTTAGTTAAGAACATAGTTTAAATTAGTAATAATAATAATAATAATAATAATAATAATAATAATAATAATCAATACCCGAACTGGACTGGGATTCTCCTCCTAGTCGGGTACGTGGGGTAGGGATGGGATGGAGGTCGTTGTCTCGGGTAGGAATGGGTATGGCCCACCTTGTTGAAGCTCCATTTCAAAATATAAATTTTTTATCTCACAAAAAAGAAATAATCATCACTATTTCTAGAGGAAACATGAGTTGTTCCACGAATTAAAAAAAAAATGTAATGATTTTTCACCAATTAAAGATATTAAAAAAATAAAAGAGAAAAATATTTAAAAAAAAATAAAGGAGACGATAAATGAGACAAATGACTTGTCTCGTCCTTACCCATTTTAATGGAGTATGTGAGACAGCACAACGAGACAATAAGGCCCCGTTCGAGAGGGCTTAAAATCCAATTAAAATTGAAAATATGGCCATTATTGGGTTCCACCCGACTAATAAAAGTCAACAATAACGACTATATTTTCAATTTTAATCTGATTTTAATCCCTCTCAAACAAGCTCTAAATAAAGAAATCTCTCTCTCTCTCTCTCTGATAGTATAAAAATAGAAAATAGTTTTGTCTTGAAAGGTCAAATCGTCTAAATTAATAGTTTTTATGGGATAGCTTCCGCTTTTATTTTTGTAGAAGTGTTTAATGAAGAAGAAACCACAAATCACCCTCTAACTATTTTTTTAATCAGATTAAACAATTATAAAAATTATTCAAATAGGTCTGAGTGCTAATTAAAGTTGCTTGAATCATTCCATTAGTGAATTAGAGTGAAGTTCATTTATTAGTACTTAGAAAATACATTAACTCATAGGTTATATAGAGAGAGAGAGATTGAAACATATACAATTTTTATAAGAGTAATGCTATTTATCATTATAATAATTAAATATCGATGATTTGGCAATTTAGTGGAATAATGGAATAGGACATTCAATTTTCATGAGAGAGAAGTGGATTCAACTGTCACATCTTATTATTCCACATAAATTGTCACATTACCGATATTTCATTATTATAATGGCAGCATTATATTTTTTATAATTAACCTCATATACTGTCCTTGTTTGACACCCATTTTGGAGAAGAATTTGATTTGAAATAGTGATTGATGGAAAAATGTGTGGTTAAAAAGTAAAAAAGAATTTTTTAGTTTATGTAAAATATTATTTTATTGATAAAATGTGTGGTTGAAATGAAGAAAGAGAAAGAGAATGAGAATGAGAAAAAAATGGATGTCAAACAAGGAAGCTTAACTTAACCTATTATTAAAAGAAAGAAAAAAATAGATGTGTCGTGTTATTTTGTATTCAATACTCTTCTTCTNGGATGTCATACAAGGAAGTTTAACTTAACCTATTATTAATAGAAAGAAAAAAATAGATGTGGCGTGTCTGTGAGTTTGTGGATTAAAATTTAGTATTCAATACTCTTCTTCTTGACTTGTTATTCATAATTTTATGACGTTTGGATGCCAATTTATAAATAATTTATAAATTAAGTCATATTTAATTATTAATTTCAATTATAAATTTATAATTATTATCTGTATATTTCAATTACTCATTTATTAATTGTATATTTCGTTAGACTCACAGTTCCTATAAATAATTGAATAATGCTAAACGACCAGAAGCCCTGACCTAATTTCGTCATTTTGTGAGACAATTGCCTATTTTACCCTTATCTCTATATTGTTATTGTTTTACGCTTTTTGACCCTATAATTGGTATCAGAGCCTAGTAACGAAAC